TGATGTCAGTCCCCAGTGAGGTGACCAACGCCATGTTTAATGATCAAGACATTTTACCCACTGATTTTATTAGAATAAATGATGTATTGACTTTATTAGAATAAATGATATACTGATTTTATATTAGAATAGATGTTGCGGTAGACTATAAATCACAATCTGGAGCTGAAACAATTATAATTTGGGAGAGAATTACCTTTCCCAACCCTTTCCCTGATTTTTATATTAGAGTAGAATAGTCCCTTTGTTGAACATTAATCCAAGACTTGCCTTAACATGTTTTTGTGCATATTGTGAATTACACCTGGTTTCAGGAGATTTATAGATGGGGAATCCCTCCTTTCTAAGAGGGAATCCCCCTTTACTCATGAAAAATGGAAAACTACAGATCCTACTGTGATAGAGCATTGATCCTTGTCTTTTGTTGTATTTTGGTCACTGTTAAGAGGAAGAGAGTGTTTTCTATCACAGGTCTGTTTTGCTGCCAATGTGGGAGAACAGCTTGTTGGTGTCTAATTAGTGAAATGTTCTGGATCTCTCTGCACAGTCTCTTCACAGCCAACAACCTGGAATCTATAGACGAGGATGCTTTCCTCGGTCTCCCTCATCTGGAGTATCTGTGAGTAGATGACACGTTGATAAGATGTTTCTATAAGCAAGATTGTCTCCATTCTCATGCATTTATTCAACATCTTTTCCAGCTTCATAGAAAACAACCAGATCAAGTCGATTTCACCAAATGCTTTCCGTGGACTGAAAACCCTAGTGCATCTGTGAGTAATATTTGTTATGCATAAAATAGAGCTATTTTTCTTCAGATGCAGTACTAACAATTGGATGATGATGTCATTTATGTTTGATGTTAATGTGTAATCATATCACCAATGTTTTTTTTTGGTTATAGATCATTAAAAGCTGTTATATAATTATGCTGCAGGTGCAGGCAAGAACTATTCCAGTGACATTCTGACAAAGTTCATTACACAATATTTGTTGCAACAGAGATTTTTATGTGAAACTGTGCAGCTGTTGAACTGGTTTAAAATAAATCCTGTGTCTTTCTCTGTCAAACTTTTTAAAGCTAAAAAATCCCAAGACCTGTTTAATGGTTACAGATAAAGGGTAGCTATTTATTTAGTTTTTTTTACTGATGTCAGAAAATGATTGATAAAACATACGCACTCTAGATACCTGTTGAGCTCGAACACATGATGATGTCATGATATCTCTGTAAAAGCTCTAAGAAAACTAATAAAATAAAATACCACCTAAACAAATAGATGTTATTTGTTCCTCTTCTAGTTGTAAAAAGAGAAGGCCATAACATTTATGAGAAGGCTCTATAAATAGCTTCCTCAAACTCATAATAAGCAATGTTCCTGCCTTCAGTCTCCTGCCAATATGTGCCTAAGCTATTTAACAGAGATCGTTCTATTTCTCAGCAAGGACACAGAGTGAACCACTGTGTTACAATTACTGCGCTCAGATTGTATAAACCACTCAAGGTTCCTCCGACAAATGAACATACAAACAATATAACGTTTTAATGTGGAGGTCCATTAAACAGAACATGAAACGAAAACAAGTGGCCATTATATCTGATCAGTTATTCCTCTTCTCTCTTCAGGAGCCTGGCCTACAATAATCTGGAGACTCTGCCCAAAGATTTGTTCAATGGTCTTGAGGCCTTGACGAAAGTGTGAGTATGAATTTAAATCCTGCGTCATCTTGAAACAAAGAGATAAATCACATAAGGTTACATAACTGAACATATAATTTATGCTATCGAGGACAATGAGTTCTTCTATATATAGAACCCTGGATCATTATTCCTCTCCATCCAAGGCTTGAAAAATGTGTGGGTGGTGCTTTTAACGCCATAAAAATGATATGCGGCAGTGAGGAAGAGAGATAGTTCGCCAATCTATCACCCGCTGAAGATGTTCACTTCTCCTTTGTAGTCCCTCTTGATGTTAATGAGAGCACATAGTGAAGCTGTGAGGGCCAGAGAGCAGAGCCAGCAGTCATACATCAATGACTGCAGTGTTTAAAAATATAATCCATTCAAAGACGCTGAGATTCCTCAAATTAGTTTGGTGATTTTTCTCCCTTCAGAGACTTGCGAGGGAACCAGTTCAGCTGTGACTGTAAGCTGAAGTGGTTGGTGGAGTGGATCTACAGCACCAACGCCACAGTGGATCAGATTCACTGTAAAGGCCCGGCCTCACAGCTGGACAAGAAGATCAACGATCTGGTGCCGCAATCCTTCGACTGCATCACCACAGGTGGAGTACAAAGGATGATATCATTTAAAGGTCACCTATTATGCAAAATCCACGTTTCCATGTCTTTTATACATGAACATGTGTCCCCTCTGTGTAAAGAGATTCTGAAAGTTTCAGGAAAAAAAGATTTGCTCACATTTTGTCCAGATCCATTTATATAAAAACCTGCCTGAAAATCAGCTGATCAGATTTTGGCCACTTTATGATGTCATAACGATTTTTTGGCTTGTGTAACCATTAGCCAATCACCAACCAAGGTAACCCCCCNCCCCCTTTATCACCCGAACCTCCTCCTAGAGCACCATTGTGTTCTTTTTAACCACATATCTCTCATAGGGGCGTGGGGAGTGGCTCCTTATTCTCTTCTAAGTAACAGACAGAGAATCAGCACTTTTGAAACAGAGGGGATTATGGGATGCTACAATGGGTGATCTGTTGAGTATTTCAAGCCAAACACTTCAGAGACATGTTTTGTATATATCTGACTGAGACCTATTATATATGGATGAAAAACAGTATAATCGGGGACCTTTAACATCACAGCCTTCCCTGACATTTGCAATGTTATTTGAAATGTGGTTTTGTTTCTCTCACAGAGTTCGCATCCTACCAGTCCCTGAAGTTTGAATCCATTTCTGTGGAGGCATTCTCCTTTGGGAATGACCAGTATGTTGTGTTTGCCCAGCCCTTTATTGGGAAATGCAGCTTTCTAGAGTGGGACCATGTGGAGATGGTCTTCAGAAACTTTGACGAAATTGACAGTGAGTAAAGCTGTGTGAGTCTAAGAGAAGCCACTAGATGGAGACATAAAAGTAATGTCTTTCTCCTTTCTTTCTCCTCACCAGGCACATCCACAGTGATTTGCAAACCTCTGGTCATTGACGACCAGCTCTTTGTGATTGTGGCTCAGCTGTTTGGCGGCTCACACATCTATAAGCGTGACACCTCTGCCAACAAATTCATCAAGCTCCAAGGCATCGACATCCTGAAAATCCGCAAACCAAATGATGTTGAGACCTTCCGCATTGATGGAGAATCCTTCTTCGTCGTCGCAGACAGCTCCAAGGCCGGCTCCACCACTATCTACAAGTGGAACGGCAACGGATTCTACTCTCACCAATCTCTCCACCCGTGGTACCGGGACACAGATGTGGAGTTCATGGAGATCTCCTCCAAACCTCACCTGGTCCTGTCCAGCAGCTCCCAGAGGCCGGTCATCTACCAGTGGAACAAAGGCACCAAGCTGTTCGACAGGCGGACCGACATCCCAGAGATGGAGGACGTCTACGCTGTGAAGCATTTTCAGGTCAACTCTGAACTCTTCATCTGTCTGACGCGCTTCATCGGCGACTCCAAAGTGATGCGCTGGGACGGGGCCCTCTTCAGAGAGCTGCAGACGGTGCCCTCTCGTGGCTCCATGGTGTTCCAGCCCTTCTCTGTGGGCAGCTGGCAGTACGCCATCCTGGGCAGCGACTACTCTTTCACCCAGGTGTACCGCTGGGATGCCAAGAAGGGCGAGTTTGTCCATTTCCAGGAGCTGAACATCCAGGCGCCCAGGGCCTTCTCTCCTGTCTCCATAGACAACCGGCAGTTCCTGCTGGCCTCCAGTTTCAAAGGGAAAACTCAGATTTATGAGCACCTGATCATAGATCTGAGCACCTGATTGTTTGGACTGGTTGGTTGAGTGGTTTCTGTTTGGGGTGATGTTTGTTGCCGCAGACAACACTGCAACAAACGTCAGGTGATCCTAACTTGAGCAAGGCAAGCATAACCCTTTCCTTTTTTAAATATTCCATTCAGATCATGATACATGTAAAGATACATGCATCTCAACTCAATATATTTGAATGAGATGCATGTTGAGTTCAATGCATGCACCTCAAGTTAGGATTACACCCAATATGTTGTCGAGACATTAATGCATGACCGGCCTCACACAGGCCGTCCCACCCTGACGAATGCATCATCCATGCTCATCAACACATTACATATTGCCAGTAGTTTTTTTCTTTTCTGTGTTCCGCTTTTCATGTGACTCAGCGATGTTTATACATTTGTAATCTCATATATTTATCTACAGAAAATAATGAAAAGGTACTTTTTATCCTATTAACATGTTTAACAAACCTGCCAAAATGAAATGTTTACATTTTTCTGTCTTTCCACTTGTACGCTTAAAGATTTGTAAATGAAGCTTTTGTAAGTTTAAGAGGGACCAACCACGCTAGTTAGATACATATTTGTTACTGAAAATGATTTTAAATTGTTTATAATTTGGAAACCAACAGAAATGTTGTGTGAGAATCTACCTGTAAGTTTGCAACTTACATTTTTATCGTTAATAGTTTGTATAATGTTTAAAGTAATGAAATGAGTTCTTCTGAAGAAGTATGGAAAACATTTTGGGCACACAGGAACTAATTTCCCACACTCAAAGGAACTGTTCATAATGCTTTACCTTTGACTAACATGTATGCAAAAACAAACGTTGTGACATGACTATATATAAGTTATTGACTATTATCTTGCTATTTAGAGTCAATAAAGGTTTACATTATTAATTGTGACATCTCATCTGAGCTCCCTGCTGGCACTGAGTAGCATGACATTGCTTCAGTGTGATGTGCACAACACGCACTAACACATCTACTTCATCGCTTTGGGAAAATTGTAATCTTTGAGTTAGTTGTGTCTGAGAAATAAAATAAAAATAAATACAAACAAATAAAATCCTTTTTATTTTCTCCAACAAAGTGCACGCCTCAATTCTACAAAGCAGCACATTACAATGTAATGGAATAAATACAATAAAATCCGCTGGGAAAAAAAAAGAAAGAAAGAGAAACACAAGCAAGGAGATACACAAGTACCTGCACAATCACACGGGTGGCAGGATTAAATCGGGCTCTTTAGAAACTGCTTCTTTCAGGTGATTGTTTGACTTTTCATGCATCTTCACTCCTCTGGGTAAAGACGTTTCGTCCTCCGCTTTCTAAAGCACACCAAACTAAACCCTGCTTTGTTTTGTAATTGAGGACTACCAAACTAACATGAAAGAAATACAGGCGCATACTCTCATGTTCATACACATCACCCAGGAAAACTTGTGCAATTGCAGCAGGATCTCCACATCACCTACTGCTGAAAGGAAATAAAGTGAACACATTTTCAGTTTGAACCAAAGTTACTACTCAAGTCTATGTGGTGCAACTTAGTGTTTTTTTCCATAGGCAAATAAAATATAACATAAAAGGCAAGGGAACACATCCCTTAATACTCCACAAAATAATTTAGTGCTCTTTAAATAAAATAAAAAACACTATTTTCAGATGGTGGCTCTTAAAAAAAAATTAAAATAAAATAAACCTCACAGACTGAAACGATAATGCTTAAGAGACATCAATAATGTTAGGAAAAAACTAAAATCCATGAAAAAAGACATTGACAATACATTTCTGTACAGAACGCAAAATGAATATACAATACAGTACCTGCAGATGTTATGCATACAGTACAATTCTCTTTTTACATAGTTTTAGTACGGGATCCAGCCTGATCTATATACTGACTTAACACAGGTGGAAAAGCGGCTATTTTAGCTTTCAGTAACTTTAATGGTTATTCAGCGAGGAGAGTAGATCGTGAAGTAGGCGTTTAGAAAAAGAGATTGAAAACATTATTGCAGGATGGTCATCTTCAGTTGCATACTGCATTTGTTACTTGAATGTGTGCTATAACGAGGAGCAGCGGGCTGATGAGAGAGGCAGAGGGCCGGACGAAGAAAAAAAAAAGAGAAAGGGGTAAGCTGTTTTTGCTATCTCTCCGTCACAGAGGTTAAACCTTGCGTTTCCTCTCTGATCCACTACCCTGTACAGTACATTCATGGCCAGTATTGCACGTTACCAGCCGAGTCCACCCTGATTCTGCGAGGTGAGGACCTTCAGTGCTGAATTTTGTCCTGTAAGTCAACACTAATCCAGTGATGAGATGAGACTGACCGCGACTCCATCTGCCGTCACAGTTTGAGCTCATTGGCAATTTTGCAGGCGATATTCTTAAAGGCGATGGACGTGCCCGATATCCTCTTGAAGCGCACGCCGTTGAGGGAGAGGCGGGGCAGCTTGCACACCTCCATCTCCCATTGGACCAGGTTGTCCTGGCGAGCGTCGCCGTGGACACAGAACAGCAGGAAGCGTTCGCGCTGCTCGTAATCGCAGCTGTTGGCGTCCAGAACCTTTCGGATCTCCCTCATCATCTCGGCGGGCTCCATGGAGGAGGTGGTCTTCATGCTCCAGGTGAAGCGGAGCGAGCGAGGCTTCGAGTCCCGACTGCCGTCCTCCTTAGTGTCGCCTGACACACTTCTACAACAGAGACAGAAAGAGAAGTGGAGAGAGGCTTTAAAGGAGGCGGCGGTTGTTAACAAGCTTTCTACTGCAGTATGAGGTCTAAAACCACCAGACTCAGGGACAGTTTCATTCGACAGGCCATAAGACTGGTAAACACCTGAACTTTTGAAAGAACATCCATAACATTCATCGGTTTGCAACTTACTAATTATTTATCTAATATATCATATTCCAATTACTTGTATATAGACTATCCTTGCACTATTGACTATCCTTGCACTATTCTATATTATTTGTATTCACTTGGCACTATTTTAACTATTTGTATCTGTTATATTGTGTTTGCACTGTTGGAGGAGCTGTGACCTAACTTTTCATGTAACATATCACGCTGTAAGCTAATGTATAAATGACAATAAAGCCTCAACAAATCCTCACCTTGGGGTTTCTGTCCTTGCCGGCTGGCCTCTCCCTCACTAGGCACCCTGAAACAAACAGGGTCATACTGTTACTCCCATGAGCTGAAGTCAACATGGCTTCCCCAACCCCAATCCTCACTGGACACAGAGGAGGGGTGTCCAGGCATCATGCCAGGAAAGGACTCCACACTCCCGGGTATCAGGGTTCAGCACATGGGGGGTGACTGTGACTTCTCGATGCACATACTAATGTAGCCCCCTCACCATAACAATGCATCATCCCTCGGCTACCCTTTCCCTTAATCCCCACTAATCTGTAAGGAATGGAGAACATGGTTCCCAAGTCTAGTTCTGTTTTCTATCACGATAACTGGTTTACTTTATTGATGGAGACGAGGGAGAGAAGGAGAGGAAGGCCAGCCATTTTAAAGGCAGATATCATGGCTTAGGCTTACGTCAGCAAAAACTGAGGTGAGCCGTGACGTTTGTTCTTGAGGAAGTGGACACAAGGGAAGGAAATACATGGCATAACAGGGGTGTCGGGCGGTAGGCAAGGATGGTGGCTTGTTGGTGGGCACACATACATAAAGGTGTTAAGGTAACCACGGGCCAAGAGTCTAGTGGAACCTCGTTTTCTTTTTGGACAGGGGGATAGGTGCAGGCCAAGCGTTTTGGTTCTCCTACCTCCGGGTCGACGCCTGAAAGACATAGCTCTATTGGGGAGAGAAGGAGAGAAAAGCTGTGAGCCTCGACCAGATGGACCAGCTTGAAAGCTGAGTGCAGTGGTGCATGATGTGGTCCTACCCCTTTGGTTATCATATTGGACAGCAAAGGGAAGCAGGGTGGATGTATAATAGGGGTGCAACAACTAATCCACTTAATCGATGACCAAGAATTAGTTGCCCGACTAATTCAGTCGTCGATTCGTCGTTGGTGACGTCATCACGAGTGTTTCCACAGGAAGTTAAGCTCCAACACGTTATCTGGGTCTTTTTATCGGTACAGGAGACATTTAAAACATAATGTCATGGTATTATTGCTACATAAACAATAATATCTCAGTCTTAGTTTCGCCACAACTCCGTTTCTAATATGCAATAAGACTACAAAATGCGTCTATGGATGTATTTTTTTATCTTTCCAACCCGACGAGAGATCTCTCCCCTCCGTCTGTGTGCGAGGGGCGGGGCAGTTTACACACACGCTCTGCAAGCATGCATGCAATACACACGGAGGAGATGGCGGAGAGAAGCGCTCGAGGTGTGGTTAAACTTTACCCGGCTCTATGTGGAACAATGCTCGTTACCAAAAGTGCAATAAGGAGTTTAGCATGTAAGGGCGGTAACACGAGCAGTTTGTCTAAACATTTAGCAAAAGTGCACCACATTCCAGACGGAGGAATGCACCGGGTGACTGTCTTTCTAGCAGCTCTGTAGCCCCGTCCCACGAGTAACGTTTCCACGTCAGGTGTTATGTACAGCTAGCAGTCAAACACACAG